CTCAAGGTGTGGCCTCACCAAGGCAGAGTACAGGGGAAGGATCACTTCCCTGCTCCTGCTGGCCACACTGTTCTTGATGCAGGCCAGGATGCCATTGGCCTTCTTGGCCACCTGGGCACACTGCTGGCTCATGTTCAGCCTCCTGTCGATCAGCACCCCCAGGTCCCTTTCTGCCTGGCTGCTCTCCAGCCACTCTGTGCCCAGCCTGTAGCGCTGCAGGGGGTTGTTGTGGCCAAAGTGCAGGACCCGGCACTTGGCCTTGTTGAACTTCATCCCATTGGAGTCAGCCCATCTCTCCAGTCTATCCAGATCCCTCTGCAGAGCCCTCCTGCCTTCCGGAAGGTCGACACTCCCTCCCAACTTGGTGTCATCTGCAAATTTGCTGATGATGGACTCAATCCCCTTGTATACTCCTTCTTGTATACTCCTTCACTGGCAGAGCATAGGAAACTGAAAAGTCCTTGACTTAGAGTAAGCACTGCTCAGCAACAACTAAATCATCAGTGTGTTATCAACTTTATTTTCATACTGAAGCAAAATTCAGCACTGCACCAGCTACTAATAAGAAAATTAACTCTACCCCATCTGGAACCAGGACACCGTAGCAGTAGTTTCTTGCAAGACATTGCTCCTGACAGTTTTGAGTCCTTCACAGCTAAGGTAGAGTCTTCAAGTAACCGTGGCATTTGTGACATGGGATGAGGACAAAGCACCTGAATCCTTTGCTGAACAGTGCAATTAGCAAAGTTTCCTGTCACTTTGCTGCAGATGGCATTTACTTGACAAAGGTCACCTTTTTGGTGTATTTTTTTTTTATTACTGGTTTTGACCTTACTGGTCATGACAGCCAAGAAACACTGTGTTCCACATGATTAGAGAATTGCATATTTAAGAATGATTTGTAACACTCTATTACTTCTGACTTTTTGTGTCACTGCTGAGATAAATTGTGAATGACAGACAGATAAATGACCTTTTGTGGGTGAAATGAAGTTAAACAAACAGAGGTAATCTGGCTCACCAGTGAGTTTAGTGAGCCCACTAGCAAATGCAGCAACCACCTCATGACTCCCAGGAGCCATCTCTGTAGCAGGTGTAATTCTAAAATACAGAAATGCAGAGAAAAAAAGAAGTGTTAGGAACAGTGGCAATGTCTGTTAGAGATCATTCATCAGAAAAACGAGAGCATTAACCATATTCCTGTTTTGTGTATCTTACCTACTGAAATATTGAAACTTCCTGCAATCTCTTTACCCTGCTTATTTCTGCAATAGTATCTTTTGTCTGCCAGTTTTATTCAGCCTCCTGGTTAAAGGGGAATGATGCATAGCACATTTTCATCTTGTTTTCTATGTGTACACAGGATTCTCACATACAACAGAGTGGACAGAGTGGCTGGAGAGCAGCCAGGCAGAAAGGGATCTGGGAGTTTGGATGGACAGGAAGCTGAACATGAGCCACCAGTGTGCCCAGGTGGCCAAGAAGGCCAGTAACATCCTGGCCTTATCAAGAACAGTGTGGCCAGCAGGAGCAGGGAAGTGATCCTTCCCCTGTACTAAGCACTGGTGAGGTCATACTTGGAGTGCTGTGTCTAGTTCTGGGCCTCTCAGTTCAGGGAAGACATTGAGGTGCTGGAGCAGGTCCAGAGAAGAGCAACTAGGCTGGTGAAGGAACCCAAACATAAGTTTGAGAACATGTGAGAAGAGGCTGAGGGAGCTGGGGTTGTTTAGGCTGGAGAAGAGGAGGCTCAGGGGAGACCTCATCACTCTCTACAACTACTTGAGAGGAGGTTGTAGCCAGGTGGATGTTGGTCTCTTCTGCCAGGCAATCAGCAGTAGGACAGAAGGCATGGTCTTTAGCTCTGTCAAGGGAGGTTTAGGTTGGATATTAGGAAGAAATTTTTTATGGACAGAGTGATCAAACACTGGAATGGGCTGCCCAGGGAAGTGGTGGCTTCACTGTCCCTGGGGGTTTTTAAGATGAGAATGGATGAGGCACTGAGTGCCCTGGTCTGGTAACCATGGCGGGAGTGGATCAAGATTTTTCCAACCCGGTTGATCCTATGATTCTGTAATTCTAATCTGAGTCCTAGTTCTAAACATTCAGTTCTTTCTTTGGTTACAGCCTGACTGGGAAGAAGTTCCCCAACTTGCTACTGTATGAAATGCCCATGAAATGACTTTGTAGTTGTCACTCCCAGAACAGATGCCGAGATCTCTTCTGCGCATTTGGGCTGCACTCTGCACTCAAATGCCTCAGCACCTGTCAGTATTGTCTTTACCCTGGAGCCAGATATAACCTTGCTTTGAAGAGGGTCTGACACCAGGCTCAGGTGCACTTACCCGCTGCTGGGCAGCTCTCCAGACCACTTCACTTAGGCAGTACACCCAGGAGGAGCATAAGGCAAGGAGGTGCCAAAAAGACCTGAGTTAAGGTTAATTACAAAACCAGCTCTCTGGATGTGGATGTGTGGCTTGCCGCTTATCTGTGACTAAGAGCCAGTTCTCAGTGTGCAGTATTGAATGCGGAAGCAGTGTTTTTGTTTTTGTAAGTCTAATTTGTGTGCTGTTAACAGCAGGCAAGTTATCTTTTTCAAGCATTGCTTACAATGATAATCTCAAAAGAAGGATTTCCTACCATTTAAACATGAAATTATTCTCAGGAAAAAGGTTGTTTTTTTTTTTTTGATGAAAATTTTTAGCAGTGACAGCCATCTTTAGAACAGTAGTTCTTGCTTTAGTATTTCTTACAACTGACTAGTGTTTGCAGGGTCACTTTCCTAATGGTCATGACTGGGTTTTGTAGACGGTCTTACTAGAGATCTTCAGATGTTTCTACAGTTGCTTCTTCTGAACTCATTAAGCTCTGACCACAGAATACTTTTCTCATTGTTTGAACAACATACTTTGAGTATTAATAGTTGTTTCTAAGTGTTGAAATTATATCTTATGGCAAAAAAAAAGTTTCTGGGTGTCTTGTCCTAAGGAAAAGTATAAGTGCCCTTATTATTCAAGGGTTCTGATTATCAGTTTAGAAAACTATAGTAAATATAACATACTGTATGTATATATAACTATAGTATGTATAAGATTTCAGTAATCAGTCTTTGTGATTTAGCTTATCTAGAGCAGAATTAGCAATTGCTGAAGTGGGAAGGACCAGGTCTTGAAAATACTTAAAACATAATAACAAAACCCAACAAAATAAAACAGTGCCTGCTGCCTGCCTGAATGACTCAGTGAGCGTGCACCTCTGATTTGTAAGAAAAGTACAACCTTTTGGGAGGAGGAATAAAGAAAAGAAATGCCACCTTAATAAAGACTGTTAAGGAATTTGGGACTGTTCCAAGGGAAGATGCTTTTCCTTTCAAATTTTCATTTTTCTTTGCCTGCTCAGGATGCAAAAAGAAAGCAACAATGTCACTCTCTCACGTTTCCCCCTGGGGTTACTTCAAACCGTCTTTCTCACAGAGTTAAAAGTGATGTTTGAATTGAAGGTTTGGTGACAATAATGAGCTTTTGGGAAAGGAGCAGGACTGGACTACTGTATTAAACTGCAGCCAGCATGACCTAGTTTTTATCAATGGAAAAATGCCTCTTTTGAAGGCTTGAGTTTGTAAATTTGAGATCAATACAGATTTCATAAAGTGAAACTGAGGAGTAAGATCAGTGTCTCAGCTTATCAAAGCAGAAAGCAAGCAGACTTCCAGGACAGCAGCACTCAGTCCCTGGTGGGTAGGTTTTTGTTTCTTTAACTCTGAGCTTTGTTAGCTGCTGGAACTTGTGTTCTTTCATAGCTCAAAACTACAGGAAAGACTTTGTAAAAGGCTACAGGATATCAAGCAATATTCTTGAATGCACTCACCTGCTCTTCTGCTTTCAGCCAATGTTTTTCCAAAACATAACATTTAAAAATTCTCAGCTCAGGTAAGTGCTGTAAGAAAGATGTTTAAAAACACCTACTAAAAATTTCAACTTACCTTTTTTCAGAAAATATATTCACTGCCAAACTGGTACGTACAAAATTACCATATAAAATAGTAAATGCTTTTCAACTTACTGAGTGCTTTGGAAAATTAAATATAAAGACTTAATTAACTCTTTTCCAAGTAATTCAGAGGTTTTTGTCCATCAGAATGGGAGATAGCTTAGCTGAAGTGATAGAGGAAATCCTCTTAAAAAGTTATTAGAGATCTTAAAATAGTCATGTTTCTTTCAAAGTCATACTTAAAAGTGAATAATTTTAATTAGGAAAAAACCCCAAACCCTATATAGCGATAACAAAGCAAAGAATACAGTTCATTTGTAGGATATTGGCACACAAATTAATTGAAGGCTGCAGAAAGCACTGGTTGCTAAACATTGCAAAAGTAATTGACATAATTAAGAATTCCAAACTCTTGAGTGTTTTATCTGATGCAATATAATGCCCTGACCAGTTGGCTTAGTTAGTTTTATTGAAACCCTAAAAGGAACAACTGAACCACTTTTACTGTGCTTAACTCATTTGCATGGAGAAAATGCTAAGATTGAAACTAAATGTGTAGGTTGGGGGTGACGAAAATTAGTTCTCTAAATCACCCATTTCAGCGTGTTGGTAAAAATTGTGAATATATATTTGCGTAACTGCGTATGCAAATGCTTAAAAAAATATGGGCAGTTGGCACTTCTGTTTATTCTGTGTATTCTTGTACATTTTTACCCACTCGGTGTGGCAAGACAAGACAGCCTCCTGCAGCCCCAGAGGGCTATTCCCCTGTTGCATATGAGGAAGCCAGCTAACACTTGGCCTCTGCCTTCACTTTCTGCAGAATTTAAATGCTGTGAAACTTTCCCTTCAGGGATTTCTGAGTAGGTGGGAGATACTGAAAGTTGATCTGAATATTTAAATACTTTTTTAAAAGGAGTGGGTTTTTTAAGTGCGTGATACAGATAGACGTATAAAGAACATGGAATTATAGGAAAAGACAGTGAACGCAGGTGAGCAAATATCTCTACACAGGCAGAGACAGTGCAGATTGTTCTGGGTTTAAATTGCTTTGGCTTTCAATTTTGAGCTCTATCACAGAGGTTTTTTGTGATCTTCAACAATTTACTTTGATGTAGAACTTCACAAGCACCAAGTTATCTGCACATATGAGTTGCTCCAAAGTTTCAGCTTCTGCTTTGCAGTTTTTCATCTGTAAGGGGAGGGAGTAGCACTCCTGTGTCTTGTGAAGTGCTGTAAGAGTTTGAGAGCAAGTTGAATACTCGTATGACTGAGCTGTATAATCACCAAGGACAGTATATGTACGAACAGCCCTTGGCAGGGGAAGGAGGGAGAGACACTTGGGCCTTTTTTTTCCTTTCTAGCTACTTGGAAAAGTAACAAACAGGGACCAAAAGATGAGGTAGGGTTAGAGTTATGTGATGGCTTTGGCTGGGGTAGAGTTCATTTTTTTCACACAAATTTATACAAGGAATGGCTCCCGTGGCATTACATCCTGCTGGGAATCCCCAGGAAAATCCCAGGTGAAAATGACTGCATCTGCGCTATTTTGCTGCAACATCTTTAACTTCTGCTGAGCCGAAGGTCCTGATTTGTGTTTTCTCTTTGTAGGTATCGTTATGCTGCTTTCTCTCCTGTCCATTGTTTATGGCGCCTTGCGCTGCAACATCCTGGCCATTAAGATCAAGTACGATGATTATGATATCAGCGTGAAACCAGCCGCCTACCTCTGCATATTCCTGTGGAGAAGCTTTGAGATTGCCACACGGGTGACAGTGTTGGTCCTTTTCAGTTCAGTCCTTCGAATCTGGATTTTCCCCGTTGCGATGGCGAATTTCTTTGGTTTTTACTTCTTCCCATGGATTCTCTTCTGGCGTAGCAAATCCCCATTTCCCGAGAACATAGAGAAGGAATTCAGCAGGGTCGGCACTACCATCGTCTTGTGCCTTCTCACCTTCCTGTATGCTGGCATTAACATGTTCTGCTGGTCAGCAGTGCAGGTGGAGCTCAGTGCTCCTGACTTAATCCGCAAATCCCAAAACTGGTACCGAATGACTGTGTACTACACACTGCGGTTCGTGGAGAACGCGTTCCTCCTGATGATGTGGTACCTTTATAAAACAGACATCTACATGTATGTCTGCACCCCGCTGTTGTTCTTGAGGCTCCTGTTAAGTTACTGCATGGCTATCTTCTTCATGTTGGTGTTCTACCAGTACTGCCACCCGTGCAGAAGGCTTTTCTCATCCAGCATTACCGAGGCTTTGCTGTCCTGTTTCAAGTCCCTCTTCTTTATGCGCAAGACTCCCAAATCCGCTGTACTGAGAGACAAGGCAGCGGTGAAAACTCCTGAAAATACTGATGAAGCACAGAGCAGTAGCAAGACAATAGACTGTCAAAAGGGGAACCTTCATCAAAGTGCTTCTTCCAATGCCTAATACAACTGGAAGCAAGTAGGTGCCTTTGAAAGGTGGCAGGTCACCTGCTGGGAACGCTGGGTATCTTAGACGTTGTGTCTTGTGGATGGGGTTTCTTTCTTGCAGGTGTAGCACTGCGTGGTGGCTGACAAGCCTGTCTTCGTGGAGAACAGTGTTTGGGTATTTGTATCTCTGTGTGTCTGTATGTGGAGAGCAATTGTTGTTTGTAGACTTCTATTTCAGAGGGGGTTTGCACATAGGTTTATTACCACATGCTTATTTTTAAGTTATTATCTGAGATGTCCTTCAAAAACTGACCTGTTGCTCATCTTACTCAGGAAATCTGAGGATAGAAGGCAATGAATTTTATTTCAGATAGGATGTCCCATGGCACACCTAGCACAGAAACAGAACTTAGACCTGGACTATATGGGGGCTGTAGCTGTGGTCTGCTTTGATCAAATTGCAGACTATTTTACACTCTAATCAGTGTAATAAGATAATACTTCTCTCTGTGGTATAAGAGCTGGGCAGTGTAGTCTGGGTTGCCATGAAACAGCCAATTAGCTAGCACTAGCACTGAAATGTGACTGTTACTGAGGATGGACAGAGGGGTTATTGACTTTGCACTGTTTCACCCTTCATATTTGCTGCTTGTTAGTAAGGGAATTAAATTCAACGCACTAATTGTGATGTTCTGGAATACCTCGTTTTTCTGACATTATCATTTGTCTAATACTTTGCTATGTTCTGGTATCAGGGGGTGTTCAGTTTATTTAAATACCTAGAAGTTGGGCAGATAGTGTGTACTTGTCATGTAGATGCTCTCCAGTGCACATCTCCAGGGAGTGATTCACCCGATCTTAAAATGCACAGGTGATGCGAATCCTTCTCTGGAGACCTGTTACTCAGTGTTAATCAGATGCCTTGACAAAGAGTTTTGACTATCCATCTCCCTTTTAGATGGCTGAAGTTAAGAGATGAGCACTACTCTGATTGTCAGAGGGATGGTAGTGCACCAAGTAGGAAGCTCAGTGACTTTATCTGGGGAGAGAAGACACCGAGTCCTTCTTTTTGAGGCTGTGATTTGTTATGATTAGTTTAATATCATTAATTCAAGACACTCTGACTTCTTTACCTCAGAAATATCACAGGCTTGAAGACTGAAAGAAAAAATGGAAGTCGTTGACTTTTTCTTTCTCAGCAATACATAACCACAAATAAAAGGGTTTCTTTTTTTTTGGAAGTTGCTGAGAAAGCTTTAGCAGAGGAACACCCAGGAATTTAGTGGAAATGCACAAAACCATCTGTATTTTCAAACACTAAGTGAAAGCTATTAGCACTTTGTTTGCTTAGCACCTTGCATTCCTTTTGAGTGATACACATTGTGGCTGCTCGTGGGAACAAGTAATTGATGATCCAAGGCATCTCCCAGTGTCCTAAGCTTAGCCTCCATTCTGTCACCATGGAGGGTGAAGCTCTTCACTAGGGATGACATCGGCATCATTGCATTAGACGTGCCTCAAATTCAGATCTGAGGTCATTTATAATAAAATAAAACACCTGCAGTTCTGCAAAGAGCTAAACTGCTTTTATTTTTTTCTTTATTGCACTGTAAATGAATGTCTTTATATTTCAGTTTTATAATGGAGTTATGTTTTCATTTAGTTTAATATGTATCTGTGTATGTTATGTGTATGTAGATCTCATTAAATTATTGGTGGGTGGTAATGGGAATTTTTGTCCTGAGCTTGCCATGGGAATGTACCTCGTATCTGGGGAAGAAACCAAACACCTCAGTTCTAATTTCTCTCTCTGAGGAGCATAAAATAGTGAAGTGATTCCTTGAAGACACTACATGATTTCTCTGTACTTTTGTATGTGGATGTACAGTACAGTTTTTCTCTCTACTCTTCCAGATGCAAAAAAGTATTTCTTTTTTGTTGTTGTTTTCCAGTAGTGAGTTAAAGGAACAAGAAAAAATATAACCCTTGCTTCCAAACCTGCAAAGTTCAGCAAATAATCTCAAATTTTCTGGTGTTCTTAGCCAAAACTGAGTGTCTATCTTTATGGTTGGATACTCATCAATATCATTAATCAGGGAATTATGGTTGGTGCCTATCTACAGATGTACCCAGGTCTGAAATGTTAGTCTTTGAGGGAAAATAAAAAAGTCGCTTCATATGTAGAAGTAGTTCATATCTAAAGATCTCTCAAATACTGAAAGCAGACTTTGGGCACTGTAAGTGATGGTGCAGTTGCGATTCTGCCATTTGGAAACAGTGAAAGCTTCACAAACCTCAGCTGGTGAAATGTTTCTGCTACAGTGAAGTCAAGTATAGGAGAGTTACACAGCCAGGAGCCCGGTATGAATACACAGTGAGTACCATTTAACCTCACATAACAATGCTGAAGGCTACTGCAAATGCATATTTTAGAGTGTGTGCCATATTACTTCCTATTTTTATACCAGCCTCCTGAAGTGCATGCATAGGGAACTGAATATTTAAATCACTGTTACGAGAGGGGAAAAAAAATAAAAATATTTGTATGGGTTATATTACTGTCCTATGGTTTTGCCTTAGTTGTGCAGACTAACCAAATACAGTTTAAACACTCCATCAGCATGAGGGCCACTGCCTGTGCAGTGTCTCATGTCGCCACAGCCTGGAGTGCAGCTTCATCAGCAGCCTTGCTGCTCTGAGAGGTTTTATGCCCCTGTGCTGCCATTGCAGGTGAAAGGATATGAGGGGGAGTCATAGAGACAGGCACTCTGTTAGGCCAATGTTTTTAAGGACAAGCTGATTTCTCTGAAGCACCAGGAGAGGCAGTTTTTCTCAAGATAACAACAGTCTGGAGGTTGTTGTTATCGGTCCACCCAGTGGCTGCACGGAGAGGATAATATTGGCTGCAAAGTCTGTATGTGTACAAGTGAGTGATCTCTGGCTGGAAACTTTACTCTGGTTTTACTCTCCTCCATGAATATTTGAGGGGCTTGTGTGTTCAATGGAAGAGGGATTTGGGGCTACTGCTGAAAACTGTACTCACTTGAGTAGTCCTGAGTCACACAAAGGACTGCTCAGTAAGGATTATTCATGTGTATAAGAGTATGCAAGATCTGATACATAGGTTTTCTTTTATACTTGTAAAACAACAGAAATTAAAATGTAGAAACTATCCTTCAAGTTGTGTTGGTATCAGTTCTTATTGTGCTGCTTTCAGAAATCTGTCACCACACAGCAGCAGGAATGTTTTCAAGCAGACGTGACAGAAGAATAATCTGTAATTGATTCAGGAGCTCCTTACCTCCAGCCTGTGATGCTTCCACTGCTGTTTAGAAGGAAATTTTTTAAGAGGGGGGCAGTTTAAGAGACTAGTGTTATATGGAACAAGATCAGTGAATATATTATTTATTGTCAGAATGAGAATATTTACTGATTTACATTGGGAATCGGGAAGAAATCATTACCTTATAAAGAGTATTTTAACTTTTATTCTGCATACTTGTTTCAGACTCATCTGGATTTACCATGTGTTTGTCTCTGACATAGTTAATAGCCAGCAAAATCCAGTCTGAGGACTGTTGTGGAGGGACATGAATGCATAAAAACTTTGCAACACATTCAAGTGTTTGTAAATTTGTATCTATAAAATATACATTTATTTTAAAAATACGGGTGTAAATAGATACAAGTCATAATATGAGTACGTCACTTAAATGAGGAGTAGTGAGAAAGGATGTTAGATGTCCTGGTGGTGATGGACACTACTGCTGCACTCCCTATAGCATAGAAATTAATTAATCCTTTCTTACAGATATTGTTTTTAGTCTCAAGGGATGATTTTAAAGTTAATACCCACCATATATATTTTTTGTATTCTTACATAGATTAAAAACTCAATGAAAAATTTTGGATTTAGGCACAATGTTGATAATTTCTGTTTTCAACGTGGTTCCTTAAAGAAAAGTTTATGTGACCTCACTATTTCTCTGTCAGCCCTGTTCTCCCCGATACATATCAGACATCATCATCAAACAACATCAACATTAGACACATTAAAATTACATTTTTCTGAGGTCAGATGTCTGATGAAATAAAAGAGGTTTGTACAAGCTTTGTGATGGCTGTCAACTTTCAGGAGGAAAAGATAAAATTATTTTATTGATAAGAGAGTTTTCAGCATGACGTTCTCTCTGACAAGTTCACAAGCCGAGCAATGAGCACACTCTAGGGGTTATAAACCTGTGTATCACTCGGTGATCCCCAGACCGGTTAACTCTTGCCCTTAGCATGAAAGAGGACCAGAAGGTGTGGGGAGGAAAAGATGCAGAGGGAAGGAGGACAAGGAGAACATCAATAAGTCATGGGAGGCAATGGGAGTTGCTTCAATTGGAAGGAAACAGCATGGACTGTATTGGGAATTATACTTTCTGTGTTGGTCCATCGGTTGCAGAACACCTGAAAGTAAGTTTCAAAGCAATCTAATAAAATACAGGGTTTTGTTAGTCTTCAAAAAGGCATGACAACTAAAATTAACATTTTTAAACAAGATTTGGGTTAGTAAACTGTAATCTAATTTTAAAAAATCTACATTGTTGAGGAGTTTTTAACTCCCCAATAGTTCCTTCATTTTTGTCCCGTAACAGCTGAAAATATCTAGCCTGAAACAATAAACCATTTTCTGTTATTTTCTACCTGTTTGAAGAGCTTATGTACCAAAGAAAATGGGATTTTGAACTCAGGCTCAAGCCAGACATCATAGTGGATATTTATAATCTTTTATTTTAAAATGGATTTGCAGTGACTGCCTCTAGTCACTCATGAATCATCACAGAAACACAAATACAGAGTAATTTGGCAGAGGGGGTAAGTTTGATTCACCAGAGACAGAAGACTTAAAAGTAGAAAGTATTAAGGATTATGTAATTTCTTCCTGACCAAGAAAAATAAGTATAATAAAACTGTTAGGTCTTGGGTTCACCCCAAAACTAAAGTAAAAATTAAAAGTAAGTGCTCCAAAATGACAATATGAAAGCTTACTGAATTGCTCCCTTGGATGAACAACAACTTCATATCCTAGGGCAAAAAAAGGACAGTTTTATCTTTTTTATTATTTTTATTTCTTGCAGTCATAAGGAAAATCTCTTGCCACTGAAATAAAGCTTTACTGTAAATATGAGTGTCTGTATTCAGGTATGAAAATTTTGCCTTTCAGGTGTGAAATTCACATGTAATTGCATCTGTGTGTAACGGCTTCTAATCACACCCTTGCATTAATGGGTAAACACATCTAAGCAGAGGATGGATGCTAATTTGTCAATGTTGCTTATTGAGATCCTTCTGGAATAACATCACAGTTGTAACTTTTTGGCTCTGAAGGTGAAACATGATTGAATGAACTAGAGACAGCCTCTCTTAAACACGTTATGTGCCTTCATGTTCATAATTGTACAAGTTCCTATTTTGACAGAGCTAACAAAATGACAGGGAATGGATGCTACATATTTTAACTTCCAAAATGTCTTTCATCAGCAAGTTGTTTCATCTTATTAATGTGCCCTGTCAGTCTAGAGCTTTAATCAGCCACAGATGCTTTCCAGATGATCAGGAACAGATACAGATGGAGAGAGATGCCAGAAGTAGTCAAGGTGAAGATTAATTCATATCTGGCTTCTAGAGTGGGAGGTAAATATCAAAAACAATATCACAGCACCTTACAGATGAGATGCCAGCATTGCATTTTGTTGTCTTTATGCGTGGATTTGCAATTCTTGCAAATCTGTGTTGCATTAAGTTGAAAGCTGTGAAAAGGGCTGAACTCATGGAGTGCATCAAATTCTTTATTGCCACGTTGAAAATTTTAATACTAGGGGGCAGTACAGTAACTCAAAAGAATGGAAAGGAAATTTAAAAAAATGAGTAGCACAAACTTGTCGTACTGCAGGGAAAGCAAGGAAACCCTTCAACAGTAATTAGGTGTTTCATAAACTTTTTTTCATTGTGTTTATTGTTTCTTATTTTTTAAGCAACAAGAAGAAGAAAAACCAAGCAGGAGAAAAAGAAATATTTTATTAAAAAATAAAATGTCACTGCAAACCTATGGAAATGTGTGGAACAACTCAAAAACATGTTGCACTGAGGGCAAGCCTAGATTTATCCACTGATCCTCTTGAAGTTATGAGGTGCAAACCCTATAAAAGAATTCAGGTAGAGCCAGGCAGTGTAGCCCAGCCTCAGAAAGTGAGAAGGTCTGCGATGTAGGCATAACCTTAGGTAAAAAATAAAACATTTTCCTTTGTTGTTTGACTGTCTTAATACCATCAGTCTTAATTATATGCATTTTGTTGCAGTACACACATTAGTTCTGATTCTGCATCTCGGCACAAATAGGCAATTTCCTTGCTAATGATCAGAACAGAAATATTAGCACTGACATAATATGTGCAGTTTGCTTATTCAACTCCAACTTATGCACGGGAAGAAAAGCAACAGGCCATGCTTTAAACTATGTAGTAGCTGGACAGTTATTGCTTGGATCCTGTTTTCTTCATCAAGATGTGGAAAAAAATCTGACAGTTTTACTGAAAGATAAAATATAATCAGTTGGAGAAACCTGAGACATTACACATGCTAAGCCTTGTTCATAGTGCTTTGCCTGTGTGGATCAGAAATGAACCAAGCTGCTTCAGAATGAGAGGAAATGGAAGACATTGCAGGGCAGACAGGTTATCAGGTGGGAACAGGCAAGGAATGTAATCCGTGAAAAATTACTTCTGCCTTACCGTGAAATATGGGCCCCAGTAAGGATGTTGTTGTGCCATGAGGATTGATGGTAAGGCAAATTCAGGGAAGGCTAAAGAGTGCTGAACCATTAGCTCATCAAACAACTCAAATGCCAATGACTCCTGGCTCTTCAGTATCATTTACCACTGGTACAAAATGTAATGGAAGCCCACAGGGGCACCAAGCAGGAATCCGTCAGCAAACACCTATCGGTCACATGTCCTAGATTGTCCTGTAGCTATCAAGGGCTTATGTGTTTGAGCTGCTATCTTAAAAAACCATACATCACTGCTCCTACCAGAGTACAACAGCAAAGGAGCAGTTGTCTCTTCAAGCAAGAAAAGAATAAAAAATTTCAAGGTAAAGGGAAGATTCCCTAGCGGGAGATCTAAAATTTAAAAATGCAAACTGTCTATGGTCTGAAGTGTATCACTCATTCCAAAGAATTTCTAGTGTAATAGAAAACTAAATGCAATTAGCATATGTAAGAGCATACTTGTATGGAAAAAAAAATATTGACAAAGGACTGGAGTTTGATCTGGCAGACTCTTCCTGCCAGGTAGCAAAAGTCTCAGTGAGGTGGGGTTGTGTCCCTGGATGTAAAATAAAGTGTTGTAGGTCACTGCAATTAGCAGTCAACAGCTCTGATTTTAATTGAGGTTGGACACAGCTCCTTGAGCTTTTTCAGAAAACTGTTTGAGAGAAGGATCTCTAAATCCAGCTGGGAAAGAATTGAGGTATCTCCAGCCTATTGCTGCTTCCAGGAAAACCTTAGCAGTGAAAGTAGCAGAACATGATTAAATCATCAAACCTTACATTGAAATGTCATACAAGCAAGAAAGATAATGAACAAATAATATTGTGGAAATTGTAATCCCTGATCTAATCCACTCCTTTAAATTTTGGTTTTCATAGTGATTTCTCTGGAAGTGCTGAAAATGTATTACAGGAGGGAGGGGTGTGTGCATGTAAAAAAAAAAAAAAAAAAAGCAGTGAATATTCTTGCAACAGAAGGCTTCAGGAGCTATTAACCCAGTGGTAATTCAGCCTGGAGGAAAGTCATCCCAGTTCAAAGCCCAGGTTATGTGACATTTGTGCCTTCACTAAGTTTCCCTAAGAGATGGACAGATACCTCTGAGCTTCTCTTGAGTGTAAGTTAAACCAGGTAGGGCTTTGCGAGGTGCTCTCAGGCAAGTGTCCAAGTTATCAGGGCAAATCCAGAAGTAAAAACAGTTTTACCATGACAAATGAGTGAAGGGAATGATTGTGATTGTGTGGCTGAAGCAGAATGATTCTATAATAAGAGGCAATTTAAATATGATTTAGCATGTAGGATTCCTGCTTAATCTTGGCACAGGGGTGAACCCTGTTGTAGTAATGTAGCTGAAGGAT